AGGGAGATTAGACAGACGCTCCGTCCCACCAGCGGAGAAGGTGCCATGGCCTTACCTTTCGTGATTGTCGCCCTGCATGTCGAAGGACTGGTTGAGGAACTCCTCCAGGTCGAATCCAAGCCCGTAGCCAGCACCGCTTCCCTTCGGAGTCACGGAGAAACCTGGGGGCAGCAGGTCTTTCACCTGTTAGACAGAGGAGAGCAGCCGGTGGTCAGCGAGGGGGGAGGAGGGAGAGAGGGTCAGAGAGAGAGCACGCGCCCCCCAGGTTAGCGCCAGTGGGTGGGCAGCCTCAAACACGGCCGGTGGGGGGGCCCGTCTGACCCCGATGTTACGGGCAGTGCCAGGACGAACACCGAGCCTGTGCCTAAGCCGGATGTACCAGCCTCACAGGGTGGGGGGTAACGGGAACAGGCCGACAGGAGGAAAACACAATTCTCAGGAACATGGGAGGGGAGAGCCGCAGCACCAAGTCTGGATGGATCGAGGGACACACACAGTGTATCGTTGTTACGCAGAGAAACACAACTGGGCTACAAACTGTCTCTCTAGCCCTCTATCTACAACACCCCCCCCACTCCCCGTCACCCCCTCCCTATCTCTGTATCCCCCTCCAGCCCCCTCCCTATCTCTGTCACCCCCTCCAGCCCCCTACACCCCCTCCCTGTCTCTGTCACCCCCTACCCCCCCTCCCTATCTCTGTCACTCCCTCCCTATCTCTGTCACCCCCCTCCCTGTCTCTGTAACCCCCTCCAGTCCCCTACACCCTTCCTGCGTATATTGAGGGGGATAATGTTTCTTTACGAGCGTTCCCCTGAGACAAGGCGTCATTTCACCTCCCCCCTGCACCGCCCCAGGAACATCACCCTCTCCTTCCACCACGCTCCGAAATCTCTGCGCACCTCTGATTCCCACTGACCCCCTGAAGGTTCCAGGCCTGCAATGCCTCCTGGTAACCCCTGAGCACCCACACCCCCCATCTCCCCCTCTCCCAGCAGAGCACAAGAGCCACTGTGGAGCGTACCTGTGATTTGGAGAGTTGCTGGGTGACAGTGTTGATGTCGGGAGACTCGGTGTTGGAGGCGTTAGTGGGAGGGAGGGCGAGGTGCGGCTGTGGGCCTGGGCAAGGGGCCTGCTGCTCCTCCTGAGGGTAATGGGCCGGAGGCTGCGGGGAAACCTCGCGCAGACCCAGCTCCCCGAACCCGGCCGCATGCGGCAGCTCACCCCCTTGGCCCCAGGGAACCTCACACAGCCCCGGGGGGTACAGGAGGGTCGGGGGTCGCTGCTGCCCGCTCCCCCAGGCCTGGCCAGGGCCGGGGAAGGCTGGGCCCGCCTCCAGGCCCACGCCGGGGCCGTCGGGCGCCCCCCCACCGGGCTGGAGGACGGTGGCCTGCTCGAAGCCCAGGCTGGGCCTGAATCCCAGGCCTGGGGCGGCGCCAAAGGCCAGGGAGGGGGCGGGGCCCGGGGCTAGGCCGGGATCGAGGCCTGGGCCAGCTCCGAAGCCCACGTTAGGCCCGAGGCTCGGAGCAGGGCCAAAGCCCACACTAGGCCTGAGGCCCACACTGGGGCCAAGCTCAGGGGTAGGCCCGAGAGCCACGCCAGGCCTGAGCTCAGCAGCAGGCCCGAGAGCCACGCCAGGCCTGAGCTCTGGGGTAGGCCCAAGGCCCATGCCAGGCCTGAGCTCTGGGGTAGGCCCGAGGCCCACGCCAGGCCTGAGCTCTGGGGTAGGCCCGAGACCCACGCCAGGCCTGAGCTCTGGGGTAGGCCCGAGACCCATGCTAGGCCTGAGCTCTGGGGTAGGCCCGAGACCCACGCCAGGTCGGAGTTCTGGAGCAGGCCCAAGACCCACGCCAGGCCTGAGGCTTGGGTTTGGGCCGAGACCCGGCGTAGGCCCCAGGCCCGCTGCTGGCTTGGCGCCTGCTGCCGGACCGTCCAGGCCCCCATTGAGGGCCGGGGCGGCCCCATCGCCGGCCTCGGGCCTCTGCCTGCCCTCGGTCATCCTCATCCAGCGTTGCAGCAGGCTCTTGTCGCCCTGACTGAGCACCACGCCCCCGAGCACGTCGCCCTCCTTCAGCTCCTTGCGTTCCCGCTCCCGCTGCTTGCGCTCCCGCTGCTTGGCCCGCTCCTGGCGCCTGCGCCTCTTCTCCTCCCGCTCCCGCTGCCGCTCCTGGGCCGTCACCGACCTGCGGGCCTCTGGATGCTCCAGCCCACAGCCGGCTGTCTCTGTCGGGAGAGAACAAACGCAGAGGCGGCGCCCCGTCAGCAAAATGGCTGAATGTTTCCTGCTTCTCGGCTGGGCGGGGAGCGTTTCGGCAATAGCGATCTTAACGTGGCGAGCCGGCAACGAACCACCACGGGTTACTACAGCCAGGCAGCAAAAGGGGGAGACCGTCTCAGGACGTGAACCCGGGCGATTTTCGGCCCCTTTCGAGCAGATCTATCTCGGCGTGGGCAGCGCCAGTCCCTCCCATGTCCCTGACGTCTGCCAAACCGTCAGGTTAATTGCATTAAGAGGTGAGGAAGTTAATTTTGGAACAATTACAGAGAGAGTTGGGGGGAGACACGTTATTCTAATTTACTAAGTTTCTGTCAGTTTCCATTTGACTGTTTATTTGTGTTTAATTTCGATTTAGGGACTGGGTCGTTCTTATAATTTTGAACTTCCTGTTTTCATAAAACAGTTGAGGAGTCTTTAGTACCTAACCCTGTGCTGTCCCTGGGAGTGTTTGATGGGGGGACAGTGTAGAGGGAGCTTTACTCTGTATCTAACCCTGTTGTATACTCGCCCTGGGAGTGTTTGATGCGAGCACGCATTACTCGCGTAGAGTTTGCTTTGATCTGTGTGTAAGCCCGCGCCGTTACTCTCCTGGAAGAGGTGGCGTGGAGGGAGCTTTACTCTCAGGCTAAGAACGGGTAGGAACTGCAGGAAAAGCTGACGGGTCTGTGGAGCGAGGATTGTGGCTGACACGGTCTCGAACACAACCCGAGGGGTGCGGAGGAAGGAACGTGGGTGTGGTGTGGGCTGAGGTGAGGGGAGAGGAGAGCGGGCGGGAGAGACTCATCGACTAAGTTACGGTGGAACAAAACCCTGAAGAGAGAGGTGGGACTTGTTTGAGGAGGTCCCAAGCATTGGCCTCGGGAGGGGACGTGTGGTGTTGTGTTGCGGGGGGGGGTGGTTAATTTTGCCTCCTCTCTGCCTGGCCCACACTTACGGTCCCCAGCTGCCCTCGGGCAGTTGCGAGGCGAACACTTGGGGCTGGAGTCACGTGTAGGCTATACCCAGCGAGGACGGCCTGTGTGAAGCGATGACGGCGAGCGCGCGGTGATTTATTTTTATCTGTTTTTTGTTTGTTAGCGGGCTGAACCGGTTTCCGAAACCGGGAGTGTGTCGGATTGTTGGAAGCGCGTGAGGTGATCCTCAGTGCGAGTGCTGTTTACAGAGCTACGGGTGACGGGGTGGGGGGGGTTGCAGACAAACTGGAACGCGATGTAGCTCGGATTGCAACAAGTAGTAGACGGGCATGAGCTGGATGCGTCACATGCACGCCCGCCCACTGCCGGCCTTCGCTTGGTACGGTCTGCCCGCGCCACTCGCGAACAAAACTTTTCACTCTATTGCGGCACATGCGACCATAAAAACCAATCAAAATGGTTCAGCGCGGGGAAGAGGGCTGGGGCTTGCGAGTGGCCGGGCGGACACTTTCCCGTACAGTTTGAACCTGCCACCCCGGCAAAGCGGGGGAAGGAAAGGGAGGGGGGCCGCTGGAGGAGGATTAGCTCGGTAGATCCCGCAATCATGACCCAGTGGATCGCTTTCCCTCCGTCCCTGAGCCCTACTTTGCTTCCTCCTTGCTGTCTACGTTGAGCGCGTGAAGGGGAACGGGGGGTTTACAAGGGGGTTCGTGTTTCTTTAATTTTTATAAATGGATAACGCCATATAAATGGCTGCATTTAGAGAGTCACATGAGATACAGGAGCAGAGTGAGGCCCTTCGGCCTGTCGAGGTGGCTCCAGCTCCAGTGAAGCGGCGGCTCACGTTGAGGACCAGAGACCGTGGTGAGGGTTGTGTGTGTGTGTGAAGGGGGGGGGGGGGGGGGGAG